GCATAATTCACTAGAGGAATTGGTCGATTCCTTCTTATATGTGTTGCAGATCGTAGAGACCGACTGCGACTGAGACGATAAATACGACTTGGTCTACGCATCCACTTCAGAAGTCAATCGACGTGGAAAACGGTATTCCTAAACCCTCAGACAACCGTAATAGCTTTTCTAGAAGGCTCAGCTGTCCTGGAGGAGATCCGATCCAGAGTTTGATAGACGGCCCGTCCGCGTGCCTATGTGCCGCCAATCGCTTGCTACCACACAACAAGGAACGTACATCTTTTACCTTCATTTTGTCTTTAGTGCGCTGATTTTTGACTAGATGGGCCATTAAATATACAATAGAAATCATGGACAGTGAAAACGGGATGCGCCATGCATCCGACATCTATTTGAGATCTTTGATGCATCCGAAGTAACAGGACGACGTTTTCCACTGAAGGCACCCGCAACCTGGTGAGAGGCTTTAAAAGTCGGGACAGCAATCGATTTTGTAGGAAAACCCAAAACAAAGTTGAACTCTTAATAGTATCACCATTCCCTACAGCTGGTATAAGTACAGTACGCTGCAAACCGGCTAGTAGGAGGCAGTAATCAAATGCGCTGTAGCTATATATAGACCAAATTTAATGCCCTGATTCGCCAATAAAACGTTTGCCCCGCCTGCGCACCGCCCACCTATTTTACTCTTTCACGCAAAAATGCTCAGCCACCTGATTTCAGAAGAAATTAATGAAAGCCGGAATGGGTTCACAACGGGACTTAACCCTAAGAAGTTGGATAAAATATATATCCAACCTAATCAGAATCGAATGGAAACCTACTAGTGCAACCGACATTCAAATTGTCAACGTTGAGTTTTTCTTGGGAAAAAGTGGCACCAATAAAAAATAGCCTGAGAAATAAGGAGGTTCCTTCTACCCAGCAAACTGTATAATTATTTGAGTAAAAGTATCGAAAACCTAATCAGTCCAGGGTTTCCTTCGTTGGAGGGGCAAAGAAATCGTGCACCGTATGTGCACCGTTTTCTTCCATGAAAAACAAAATCCTTGGGTTTAGGTTTCGGAAAAACGGAGGATTTTATGCCACTTTCTGGAAGATTTGCCATATTTTGTATGATTGTATGTTCCCAGGGTTAGGTGGTCAAAATTTTTCTTTGGGATGAGGACTATTTCAAGTCTACTGGTCATCTGCGGGTTCTAGGCAATTGGTTGCATCTGCCGATGATCCCTATAGCAGTAGGCTACCTTTTTATATTTGTTAAT